CCCTGGACCATGCAGTCCTCGCACACACTGTCTGCCCTCCTCCTCCGTCCTGTCTGCCCCTTCAGTCCTCTGGTAGCTGTCAGCACATGGCCACTGCTCATCTTCCACTCGCTTCGAGTCTATTGACTCCCTTCTGTCTTTCACTTTAATACATGACCTGTTTTCATCTCCTCTTTCGCTGGTACCATCAACTCTGTCGACTTACTTCCTTCTTCGCACCCTCTTTGGAACAAACCCACAGCCCTGTATGGATCCAGTGCCTATCCTGGTTCCTGACACTGCTGAAGAGAGTCACCCAAGTCTGAGAATACTGTCTCTCAGCTGGGCTCTGGGTACCAGTGCAGTCTTCCCTTGTTGCCCTGGTCAGCCTCCTTGGCTGGCCCCACAGCAGCTGTCCATTGTCTCCCACTTACCTTCACGATAAAATCTAAACACCCTGACTTGGTTTTCAGAGGTCTTTATGATTTGGTTGTTACTTCATCATTCACCACCCTAAACATTTTTGTGTAAAATGTGAAGAAAGATGAGGCCCTCTAGGGCAGTGGTACCACTTTTAAGACTAATACATATGATCTGTTAGTTTTCACAGTGCTTCTTTTTGCCACATTTTGTAGCACCCGGAGGAGGAGCCTGGAATAAATCTTCACACCTCCTGCTCTCTCAGGGCGTGAGTTCCAGGGGCTTTGACTTTGTGTCTCATTGAGGCAGGGGTTTGTCAGGAATATCTGAGAAATTTTTCAGGGATTATTTCCTACGGGTGTCAGAATTCAAGCATTGAGAGACACTTAGTTTTGGCATAAGTTAAGTGCTTGTGCTTAGGGAAACTGCTTTGAAAGACCTAGTTAAAAGAATGTTTCCTTAAAAAATAAAGTAAAAAACTAAGTAATAAAACTTGCTGAATATGGTACAACATCCACCTCCTCAACACACATACTCATTAGACTGGCTAGAATTGAAAAGATCTGCTATATTGAGTGTTGGCCAGCACACGTGGAGGAACTGAAACTCATCAGTGCTGGTGGGAATATAAAATGGTACATCTACTTGGGAGAACAGGATAGTTTCTTTAAAAATTAAGGGCAAATAAACACAGTAAAATAAATAATCACATCCACACCATCCCCTGCATTCAAAAAAAGAAAAAAAGAGTTCAGAGCACCCCTACCTTATCTTGATCTGAGAGGGACGTCATTGGCCAAAGGAGAGCGGGCTGGTCTGATCTTGCACGTAAGCTGTGTCATGAATGGCACACCTGAAAACAGGCTTTCACTTTGATTTTATGCTTGGAGAGGTTTATTCCTGCCTCCTGAGACTCACCACAGCCCTAGCCAGACATGCAGACTGAGTTGGACCCTGAGAGGAAACCAGCTCTGGTGACCTATGTTCCACTCAGTTACTAGTGAGTAATTGTGATGTGTAGCCAGTCACAGCCACCGTTTATTGAGCACTTTCACACATGAACACATTATTTTGATTTTATCTCTCAGCCCTTTTGAGGTGGGTGTTTTCCCCTTTCTGCAGATGGAAAAAAAAATCAGATTAATAAGGCTTCTTACCTAGCCTTGGCGCTACCGTAGCTCCGTGGTCAAAGCCCTCTTACACCGCTTCCTCATGGATAAAAGGGTGTTTTGCTTTGCTTTGAATTCCTTATTTTCCCAAGGCTAATGTGGTAAAATACTGCTCTTTTCTGCTGTCCACTTTACCTCCCTTATCTTTCCTGGCCTCTGCTTCACTCCTTTTTGATGTTTAATATTTAAATATTTATTGTGTGCTGGGCAGTGCTATGCTGAGCACTTTCTTTCTGCTGTCTTAGTTACTGAACCCTCCTGACCGTGTTATGAAGTAGTTGGTATTCCATTCAAGAAGCCGCGAGAAAATGGAAACTGAAGAAAGCTTCCCTGAGCACACAGCCATGTAAAGGTGGTGTCAGACCCAGGGTTTCATCCCAAGTTTGTCTTAAGCCAGAGCAGGTTTAACCACAACGTCATTCTGCTTCCATCCTAAATGTTAGGATCCTAAAGTCCAGGGATGCAAAGAAAAGAATCTGAATTTGCTTGACTTATAGACTTCTAGGAGTGGTGTGAGATTCTGTATTTTAGCTACCTAGTGCTAGAAAGGTGGGAGTTCTAACAAACCTGTTGACAGTCAGTAAGAGGGAGTAAGTTTGGGCTTCCTAATTGTGCTGAAGACATCTCCTATGGCAACACGGGCATGTGTTTTCAGACATTAATAGCAGCTGTGACCAGGGTGGCAGAGTTTCCCAAATGCACTGACCCTTAAGCCTGGGTAGCAGAGAGCAGGAGTTTTGCTGCTACTGGTAGAACTCTGGTCTTCAGAAAGCCATCCTGTACCTGCTTCTAATGGGCCCTGGGTGGTCAGTATCAGTACTGGATGTGTACCTGCTTATTATACTTTTAACTGTGGTTCTGTTATGCTTTCAGTGGTCATGCTTTGGTGTATTTTGTTGGGTGGCTTTGGGCAAAAAGGGAAGGGCTCTTGGCTGGAAAGATAACCAAGAGGTCATGAGACTTGCTTTTTTTCCCCCTCTTCCTAGTACTGAGTATGCTCCACAACCCACTGGGCAATGTCCTGGGGAAGCCTCCCTTGAGCTTCCTGCCTCTGGACCCCCTTGGATCTGACTTGGTGGACAAGTTTCCAGCACCCTCAGTTAGAGGATCCCGCCTGGACACCCGGCCCATCTTGGACTCCCGTTCTAGCAGCCCCTCTGACTCAGACACCAGTGGCTTCAGCTCTGGATCAGATCATCTCTCAGATTTGATTGTATGTGACTTATTGGGGAATTGGGGGTGGGGAGGGCAAGCGAGCTTGAGGTGGGATGCACATCCACTAGAATGCTGGGAGGGGTGGAGGCCGTTGTGGACACGTATAGAACTTTCCATCCTCAACAGAGTGGAGGATGCCTTGTATACCCGTTCAACATTACATTTCAGGACCTGACCTGAGGACTATTTATGGGTTACTCCAAGAGCTGCTGGGAACCGGTTAATTTCAAAAGTAAATGCGAGTCCTGGCAGTGTTCTGTTTCTTGACTTACATGGGTGTTTTCTTTAGCCTTTAAACAATACCATTTATATACCTTTACATGTGATATCTCAAAATTTCTAAGTGATGATTTTATAAATCACATGTTAGTAATCAGCAGGGCTAGGATTTTAATCCAGATCTGACTGACTCTAGCTCCTACATTCTTTTCACTGACCCATACCAGCTCTGAGGCCATGATGAATCTATAAAATACTGCCTCAGAGTTAATTTATGCATCTCTTTCTCCGTATCTACAGTCATGCATGATGTGTGTGGCACTTATGCTAAATGCAGTTGGCAAATGGATTAGAATAGATGAGGAATGGGGGTAGTAGGAGGAAATACATAGAGATGGCAGTGAGAATAATCCTAAACTAAAATACAGTTTCAGATGGCTTCTGAGCCTGAGCTGACTGTTGAGTGAGTAGAATGGCTTATTTTCCTGCCCTCTTCTCTTCCACGTCCAAGACTGGCAACATTGGTTGCTGCCGTGTCCCATTCATAGCATGACCTCTTAGGACTCACCTTGCTTCCCCTCAACCTGTCCTGAAATATGAAAGCTGGCATTGGTGTCCCCACTACGCACTGGTTTTGTGTTCAGACTTCAGGCTGTGTTTCCAAGAGGGTAACCACAAGTAGGTCCCTTTGATTCTCTGGGCTGCAGTTTATTCCCCTGTTAAATGGGGTTAGATGAGGTGCTTCTAATTCCGTTTATGTTACTTTAGATGGGGCTCAGTCTTGGAAATTTACCTCATAACCAGCTTTAATATTTTTGGATTTCATTAAAAGAACTGTCTCAGATACCCCACCCCAAAGTTAATTGATGAAGGGAATATGGACCGACAACTCACAGAAAAGGAAATAGAAGCAGTATTTGAACTTAAGAAATATTCTATTGAGTAATTATTTTAGTTTATTTTTTGATGAAGTAGTATCATTTTTACTCAGATTAGTAGAATTTAAAGCCTTGACACAAGCTTGTAGTGAAACTCGTGTTCACATACATTTCTGATAGAACACAATCCTCATAGAAAGCATTTTGGCATCCTACGTCTAGGAATCTGACCAGAGAACACACAAAATATGAAGGAGCTACACCTTAAAGTTTTTATGTATAATTCTGAAAACTTGGAAAGTATCTAAATGTTTAAGTAACAATAGGGGAATAGATCAGGAAGTGTAGCTTGTTCCCTAAATAGAGTATCACAAATTAATTAAAAATGATTATAAAGACTGGCAATGTAGGGGGAAAAAACTGAATTGGAAAGAGAAGAATTTGTTTAAATTATGGTATAAGAACAACTAATCTTAAAAATAAATAGGAAGAAAGTCTGAAAGAAAATATATCAAATGCTAAATGGTATTTTTCTTAGTTGTATAGTGTGATTATTACTTTTATAACAAAACTGTCCTTTAAAAACCTGTATCTTCCCTTTTCCTTCCCTAGTCAAGCCTCCGCATTTCCCCTCCCCTGCCCTTTTTGTCTCTGACTGGGGGTGGTCCCAGAGACCCTTTAAAGATGGGAGTTGGGTCCCGGATGGACCAAGAGCAAGCTGCTCTGGCTGCAGTCACTCCCTCCCCAACCAGTGCATCAAAGAGATGGCCAGGAGCTTCTGTGTGGCCATCCTGGGACCTCCTCGAAGCTCCCAAAGACCCCTTCAGCATAGAGAGAGAAGCCAGGCTGCACAGGCAAGCTGCAGGTGAGTGTGGCTATGGGCATGTGGGGGGCCTGAGGCCTCATTCTCCGGACAGAGAGTAAGTGACCTTAGTTCACAGAAGGTGGACTGTCTAGAAGAGGACTTGATTGCATGGTGAAGTCTCTGCATCTGCAAAGAATGGTGTGCTCTGAGGAGTGAGTGCTAATGGGGACAAACTCGGGAACTTGTGAGGCTGAGCAGAGAGGAGAAGGAGATAATCTGGTACCCAGGGTCATGCCCAGTAGGGGCTGGAACCATCTCTCGCTTGTGCTCTTTCGTGGAGATTGTGCACTGTTGTTGCTTTTGATTCTTTTCACGGTGGATGTCTTAAAGAGAAGCCTTGGAAACTGTACCTAGAATTTTGTCTCCCTCCTCCCTTTTCTAATTCAAAGACACATCAAGCACAACCCCAGGGCTTTCTGATTGGTGTACACAGGGATGCATTGGGGGTCTGTTGTCAGCATCCAAGGTACAGGTGTCCCAACTCTACTGGTCTCTCAGGAACCCTTAGGTTCTGTCATTTAAATTATCTTAACTACATGTTAAATCTACTCTTCATCTTATACCAGTACTTGGAAGCAGATGAGCTATGTAAGTCACTGTTTACTAGTGCTTCAGGGAGGTGCTCACTGACCACTATTCTGAGGTTCTAGAGTTGATGACTGAATGAATGTTCAGGTTATCCATTGCGTTTGTTTCCATAGGCTTCAGTATGTCTGTCTTCCTACTCACAGAACTAGACCAGATCTCAGTGTCCCCTAGTAGTGTTGCTGTCCTGTTCACTTAATGGCTTTGGCAACCTGTCTTTGTACTTTCTCTAGTGCCATTGTTTTCCTGTAAAATGACATTACCATGTTTTTGGATGAGGCCATTATATCGACTTCTTTTTTTGTTTGCAAAATATTGCTGATGATGCCTGATTTCTTGCTGTAGCAACACAGTGGATCCATGCCTTTTAGAGAATAGCCTTCCATGTCATTGTCCTGAATGAAAACGATGGTTCATTTCATTGGCTGTCTGCTCTAGAGCTGAAGGAGGAGAGTAAATAGGCAAGGACTAGCCAGTCCCACTAAAGTCAGTTTCTGATCTGAAAGGGACAGACTGAGTGGGGACAGGATTAAAGACTGATGTGATAGAAGGCTGGACTGGTCACCAAGAACAGTGAGGCCCGTAGAAGTCAGGGCAGGCCAAACAGAAGATAGTTTCCACACTGTACAGCAGCAGGGGTTTCTTAACAAGGTGTCTGAGTCAGAGTCAGAGAAACTTCACAGTGGGTTTGGACAGACTTCTGTTTGGTATAAACAGGAAGCTGAGGAGTTGGGAGAAAATCCATTATCTTCCAGTGCTGGCATCAGGGAAGGCCCAGTGTCTGTTTAGGTATCATAAAGATAGCTCTGGAAATGATGGGGCATGGTTCTGACTTGAAACAGTTGTGACACTCTTGTGGCGTTGCTAGTGGTGGATTTTATTGGCAGTGTCCTAACTTCCATGAGTGATGAGTTCAGGGCAAAGAGGGAAACGGAGTAGAATATTCCTTATTTGAACATCTGGGGAGAAGGTACAGTTGGAGCAGTAAGCCTTTAGGATGTTGTATACAAAACTGTTCTGTTTACTTTCAAGTATAAGCCTACCTTGATCTACTGAGCTTCACTTTCCTATACTTCACAGCTACCACACTTTTTTTTTTATAACAAATTGAAGGTTTGTGGCAGCCTTGTGTTGTCAAATGATGGCTAGCATTTTTTTTAGCAATAAAGTGTTTTTTAACTAAGGTAGTTTTTTGTTTTTTTAGAGATAATGCTGTTGAATGCTTAACAGACTACAGTGTAGTGTAAATGTAACTTTTATATGCACTGGAAATCAGAAACTTTGTGTGACTAGCTTTATTGGAATACTCAGTTTATTGTGGTGCTTTGGAATGGAACTCTGAAATATCTCTGAGGTATGCCTGTAATTATAAATTTAAATTAACTAGTGTTGTAAGCAATGAGTATGTGAAACTGCCTTCTGGTTAGCATTATCAGTTATTTGTTTGAAAATAGTTTGGGTTGTGATCATTTTTACCCTACACATCTGGTTTGCTGTTCCTCTCAGTTTTAGTGGAGACAGAACTAGCGAATTAGGATTAGTTATCATTCTGGGCTGACTGGTTTGGTGAGGTGTAAGGTTTCTTGCCTTTCGGAATAGTCATGATTGTTCTCCCAGGCAGCTGGACTAGGTCTGTGGCCTGTCTCCTTCCCTGACAAGTTCACCCCACTGAAAGGCAGTGACTGTGTTGATTTTTCTGACCCCTGTTTCTCTGTCTTCTACCAAAGCTGTGAATGAAGCCACCTGTACCTGGAGTGGCCAGCTTCCTCCCCGGAACTACAAGAACCCCATCTACTCTTGCAAGGTGTTCCTAGGAGGTGTTCCTTGGGATATTACGGAAGGTGAGCTCTGAGACCTCCTGCTTCAAGTATAGGAGGTGGGGCATCTCTTTCAGGAGCATGAAACTTCGACTTTTGAGGCCAGGGACTGAACCTCTGCCTGAGCACAGGGTATTACAGGAGCACCTATGAAGGGAGAGGTGCACTGCATAGACTCCTACAGTGCTTCTGTGTCTGGTGCTTACACTTGTCACCTGAGACCAAAGGTCACTTCTGAGCTGTTTGTCAGGGAGGACGAGCCTGGGAGAACACTGGTGGCCCTGTGCTTGTGCTTTCCTGGGGAGGATGGTGCCTCAGATTCTGCCATTCTTTCCTATCTCTTTGCAGCTGGGTTGGTTAACACCTTCCGTGTCTTTGGCTCTTTGAGTGTGGAGTGGCCTGGTAAGGATGGCAAGCACCCCCGGTGTCCTCCCAAAGGTAATATGCCTAAAGGTAATAAAGACATGGTAGGCACTTTTTTTACCCCTCACTAGTACGTGATGCACTGAGGGGTGCTGGGATGTCACAGCTGCATGCTGGTAACGTGGTTTGGGCACTCCAGAGCACAGAACTTTCAGCTGTCAGCACTCTTCTTCAACCAGGCACATCCCTGTTTCTTCTGAGCTAATGCTCTATCTGTCCAAACTCTCACTGCGGTTGGAGCTGCCTATGAAACTGTCTTGTGCACTTCCTCCAAACCTGAACCCCAGCAGTTCCTTTCCTCTCAAAATGAGGTGTTTGAAAAGCTTTCCTTTACCTGCCTTTCCTGCCCAGTTACATTGTTGCCTGACCTAATTCTGAGATCCCTTTGGAGTTAGCAAGAATGAGGACCAAGCATCTGATTCCTCACTGGTCTGAAATGAGATCCCTTCCCTGTAGAAAGGAGCAGGTGCTATTTTCACGCTGCCCCATCTTCACCGAAATGTTCCAATGAACTGAACCAGTGGTCTAAGTAGACTTTTAAAGGAATACCTTCAGCCCCTGGCCACAGCCTGTCATCGCTCTTGCCCCCAGGAAAGCCAGGCTTGCTGGCCTGAACATGCTCTATGTGGTGGGATGAAGAGCTGTGTGGTAAAGTTGGGACCCCCTGTCCTACCTTGCCAGTCCCTTCCCTTACAGGGTGGGAGATGCTGTGCTTCTCCCTCCCTTCGCCTGGGTCTCCGGCATGGAAAGTGCTCCCATTCAACAAGACTTACAAGGAGTAGGACAAGAATGTATCTTACACACAAGCCATCTTTCTCGGAAGAAACTCCCTGCTGCAAAACCAAGGCTGAGGAGTAGCCACCTGATGGGTGTTAATGCAGTTTCTCTTTCCATTGGGAATAGGGTATGTATATCTGGTCTTCGAACTAGAGAAGTCTGTTCGGGCCTTGCTTCAGGCTTGCTCCCATGACCCACTGAGCCCAGATGGCCTGAGTGAATATTACTTCAAGATGTCCAGCCGGAGGATGCGCTGCAAGGAGGTGAGTTGACACAGCGTCCTTCTGGATCAGGTAATTGGCAGGTGAGGCAGTGGATTTAATGGGGTGGGTGGTGCGCAGGCTGCAGGTGAATATTCTTGCTGAGGCAAGAGGGCTGCTCTTCCCACCCCACAGTAAATACAGCAAAACTCTCAATTACATTAAACAGCCACCACCACCACCTTTGGGCCTTAATGTGGTGTGTGTGCTCCTCCTGCCTGTAGAGATCAAACTATCTCCAGCTCTTATCCTCCTCTTCTTAATTCTAGCCAACACTTCTGTCCCAAGCCTCTTGTCTTAGAAACGAAACTGAAAATAGCAGCTTTCTCTGCTTGGACCTAATAATCATCTACAGTTGTTTCTCTTGCCTTTTGTACCTTCTGACCTCCCAGTCTCTGGTGGGTAAATCCCTATTTAGCTCACACCCATCCGTGGATCACGTCTTCACTCCTATTCAGGGATTTATTAGTGTGTAGTTTTCTCCATGTGATTCTCTTCCCTTATGCTTTTTCTGTTACCAGCCTTGTGTGCCCTTAGCATTGTGAGTCTCTAGCATAGAGTCATCCTACTGGGGAACCTCACTACATATTCTTGGACCTTTGTCAGACTCTCTAAGTCTGGGTGGAGCTTAAGAATCTCCACGTTACCCAAGTTCCTTAAGTGGTCCAGCTGGATGGATGGTGTTTGAGAACTACTTGTCAGAGGAAGTTTTGACCTGAGGAATCAGCATTGTTTTTAAAAATCTGGTTCCAGAGCACAGTACTTTTGTGATATTGGATTAGATTGTTAATACCTCTGAAACTTCTTTTCTTCATCTAGAAAATGGGAAATTGAGATGCGTGTTTTAGTAAAAAGATGAGCAGTTGCCAGGGGTTATAGGGGGAGGGATCAATAAGCAGAGCACAGAGATCTTGAGGGTGGTGAAAATACTCTATGAAATTATAATGATGGATACATGGCATTATACATTTGTTAAAAACCCACAGAGCTGCAATGGTGTAACAGACACCAAAGGTGAACCCTAACTTTGAATGATAGTGATGTGTCAGTGTAGATTCCCTGATTGTAACAAATGTACCACTCAGTGAGGAATGTTGAGAGTGAGGGAGGCAGGGGGTGGTGGGGGGGAGGAGGTATATAGGAACTCTACGTTTTCAGCTCTGTTTTGCTGTGAACCTGAAGCTGCTCTAGACAGTAAAGTCTATTAAAATTTGTAGGATGAGGGATCTAGGTTCCTGGGTATGACAGTTTGGTACTATTTTGCTTACTCTCCAGGATGAGTGACTGCAGTTCTACATTTTCTTTCCCCCATTTTGAACACATGGGCTCAGTGGAATTTAACTCTAGTTGTGCTGGGGTAAGGGTGGCTTGCTGAGTGCCTGTGTGCCTGGGCCTGGGCGAGAATACCTTTT